GGGGGGGGGGGGGGGGGGGCAAAACTATGTAGGTATGAGTAATCGAGTTGTTGAAATGAAAAAGCGAGCAAAAAACACGACAACTTGCCTACGACGATGATTCGTTAAGAGGAAGAAGAAGAAGATGAAGCAGCCCACTGCTGCTGGCGCGCGTGTAATAACAATATAAATACACGAGTCGTCGTGTATATAGGGGGGCATCGCAAGAATACATATGTATGTATATATATATGCGTCAGAGTGTATCAGGCGGTGATTGGTGTCAATGAGAAAGGTCGATTCTTTCATCTTTTGCTCGTGATTCTTTGGGACACGGGGGAATACGATGCTATTTCATTCTTTCCTATAAACTTTATTAATTTTACGTCATTGTTTTCTGGCTACGCGTTACTTACGTGCACTCCTCGAATCGTAAAATACTGCACAAAATTTACATAAATATACAAGTGTAGCAGCTATACACACACTCGCCCGGGCCAACAAATTTTATTTGCGGTACATAAACGTACAATACGTACACCTGCTATAATTACTGAGTATTGACTGTAAGTATCTACCTACTTAATTTTCGAATTTCATTATCGCACCTACACGTATATACTATCAAGTGTAGTGTCACCTTTGAAAATACTTGTCACACTGCTCGGTATGTCCAATAGCCCAAATGTGTGTCATGAATCAGTATAGGTATACACTCGAGCGACACGATGAGAGATGACGAAAGCTTTTTCCTCTGCTTTCTAAAAACCACTACTTCATCGAAAGATAATAGCTATATATTCGTGTAAAGGTATCTTTGATTCCTGCGGGGCTTTAACGGCCCCTATTACCAACGTAAAGCTCCAATGGCTCCGATTCTCGAATCAAATGAAAACAAGATTGCCTCGTCAATTGATGATATACACAATCATTTATTTTATTTTATTTTTTTTTTTTTTTTTAATAACAAGTGGAGGTAACGCGTGACACATAATTATCGTACATTGATGATTAAATCGTCGTGGCCGAATCGAGGGCCCTGGCGCACTCGGCCTCGAGCAGCCCGGACCAAACCTCGTAGCGATGATTCAGCCCAGGCACGTTGTGCAGCAAAGCTCTGCTCCCCAGCACCCCGGCCCTCGGGTTGCCGACTCCGTAAAAGATCCTGGCGACGCGCGAGTGCAGCAACGCCATGGCGCACATTGGGCAGGGCTCCTGCACGAGAACCGCCCAGTAGCCCGTGCACAGGTACGCCGCTTCTTCTCCATTTCCCTCCTCCTCCTCGTCATCATCGTCATCGCCAACTAGTATCAGACTGTCCAGCTCCGGAGGGAAGACCAGCGGCCGGCGGACCCTCAGCCGAAGCCGTTTGCCGGTCCCCTCGAGCTGCCGCGGCTTCAAGTCCCAGGCGCCCCCACCTTGGCCGTGCGCCACTAGGTCGACCGCGAGCATCGCCGCGTGCCACAGGGGGTGCCGGTCGAGGCTGGCCCGGGCCAGGGCGAGGACTCGCGGGGGGCCCCGTCGTGATGGCTCGAGGATGGCGGCGGCCCCGCTGCAGCAGGTACCGCCAACGGCGGCCCGGGCGGCTGTGGCGACCAGTTGGGCCGCGGACTCGAGGGGCGCGAGGTCGGCGAGGGCCGCCCCGGACAGGAGGGCCTCGAGCCGCGGGTCCGGGTGGAAGTGCAGGGGCCAGTGGGCCGTGGCCGCGCGCATCTGCGCCTTGGAGCGGGCTGGCTTGGCCGGGACCTGGGGCGTCTCGAGCTCGTCCTCGAGCAGGGCCAGGTCGAGGCCTAGGTCGGCGAGGAGTTGGCGCAACTCGGCGGGCCCGTGGATGCCCTCGGGTAGCCGATCCAGGGCAGCGAGGTAGATGCGGGTGCCGTGGCAGCGTTTCAGGTGGCGCGGGCAGGGAAGGTGCTTGCAGTTGGCGAGGATGGCCATGGCTTGCGAGGCGAAGCGTCGTTCTCGGAGGACGCAGACGTAGGCCTTCTCGAGGATCGGCTCCTCGCGGATCAGCTCCTCCGGTAGAACGGGCCTGGGTCTTGGCTTTTGGTTGACTTCCGGCTGGCTGTTGTCCACCATCGTCGAGGCTCCGTCATCCGCTGCGTCACGGAAAAATACCAAGAGCGTGAGCGTCGTCGTCAGAGGAGATGTTACGCTCCGTATGATGGTCCCCGAGTCTTATACACTTGAACCGATCTCGACATATTTAATCGTTCGATTCTGGGGTTGGATGCCCTTGTTTGCTGTGATCTTTTCTTTCACCACTCGCAAAAGTAAAAAAAAAAAGATGTGGCGTACCAAGGGAAAAACTTGTTGAGAACTTATACGTTTGAAATATCGCTGTCTCGTGGTACCACGCTACTTGTGCTTCAATTGCTTCTCTATCCGTGGAAAACTATCCTAACATGTGTTCGTCGTATTATTCCATCAACAGTCGTTGCCTGTATCCTATACGTATATACGCATTTTGGTACGGGGCGCCGCGTAAGAGATAAACAACTATATATCCGAGTCTGTGGCTGTGGATGTTTTTTGTTTTGTTTTTTAAGGTAAGTTCAATACGATTTTAATTTTTGGAGGCTGCACGTGGTTTTTGGTATACTCGGGAGTGAATCACCAGGCTTTTCGATTTTTTGAGATCACACACCTATATATAACTTGCACAACGACGGCAAGTGCCTATTTTTTGTGACGGGGTGTTTGTTACTTTCTCAATGAGTTCGAGGAAACGGCATTAGTTATCTTCAAGATGATAAACTATACACGAGTTGAAACATATATGGTTACGTGTTTTCCAGTCCAATTAGTGAGCAATTAAGCGGTGCCATACGTCTCGTCAAAGGTTTTACGATGTATATGTTTTATTATCTCTGCTCTGTGGTGACGATTACTTTGTATGTATTTATTATACCTTGTAATGAGTTTACACTGGAAAGTGTCTATATTTTGGATGCATTACAATTTATTCAAATAATTTTATATTATAGTTAACCGATTTTTTAATTTTTTCTATTGCGAGATAACCGCCATGCTTGGATAAGTAGAGCTATTATACAGTTATTGGGCCCTAATGCGTATACTTTTAAAGTAAGTATACATATAATGGGGATGTCAAAATATCATGTGTGGCTAATTACTGTAAAGGAGAACTGACATCGCTATACCTTAACGGTACGATTTCAACGACTCGGCCATAAAAACTGATAACAAATGGCAATTTTCAAGAAAAAGAGAAATCTTACTCAATTCGTAGGGTAACTAGTTTGGGGTTATCGGGACCTTGGAAAGAATTTCAAATTTAAAAAAAAATTAAGCACTATTGAGAAAACTTAATTGCGCGTATTATCGAACCAATAAGTGAAAATACCTAGATAAGAATAAATTAGCCTGTAAAAACAATTATTACCGAAATCCAAAGAAAAGTAGAAAAAATCGGTTGTACAAGTGGATTTCAGCAAAAAGGTTGTAGTTCTCATTAAAATGTAAGTTTTTGTCAAAAAATCTACAAATTTTTTTTACATCTGTCTACAACGCAATCCTCACGCTGTGAACGACGAAAATCGTCTAATGATCGTTTTAGATTCCATATTTGGTGAAAAATGCATCGATGGTACCTATACGTAAAAGCGGGTGGTTTTTTTCAATAATTAACTTATTTTACTTCAAAATGTAAGAGGCACGCTGTCTCTACGATGCGTCGATCCGATCCGTAATTTGCCGACGATTTTACGCGACGATACCGATAATGATGCGCTCGTGATATAAAGTTGTTACATCGTTACTTGTGATCGAACGTCAAATATTTTTATTGTAATACATAAATATACGCACGCACATCAAAATTAATATTTAAGCAATAATATCCCTGAGTATCGTGACTCGGCTTTTATGTTGTACATGTACCCAATACATATACATACGTATGTGTGCAGTATGAGGTTGTGGTTTTTACACATATCCTATGGCGCATACTTATTAAAATGGAAGCTCAACAGAAATCGGCGTATTTTATTTGATAGATCTGTCGTGACTCAATCGAGAGGAATAGTTTGCTTTAAATTGCTGTCAACTTGGGCCACGGTCGAATCGTTTGTCAGAGTTATAGACACAATTGTTCGGCTATATCATACAGATACATCTGTACTGCATGTACATATACAGCATCAAAGTCAATGCTGGACGATTTTAGTTCCCAACTACGTACCACACGCATAAAATACCTATACACACAGGGCTTTCATAATTTTTGAGAATTTTCAAGAAACAACAGCTAGCGTATATCTGTAGATTCGTTCTGGAGTAACTCCTATTACACACAGGTACACACTACATGTTACTCATACCGACATGCAAAATTCACGGGTATGGTGAAAGCTTTCTCACTGAATGTTTTTTAATTAATAACTTGTTTCCTGTATAAAAATTATCACGAGTCCGTTTCCATGAAGTGATGGAACAAGTTGACTGAGATGCTTCAACAGTTGTGGGTATATTTTATTCAACGTCACAGGCAGGTTGCTAGCAAATCTGCGACATTGCAATTTTTAAATCAGTGACAGCAGAGGAGGGCAAAAGAAGAAAATTGAACTTTTCCGGAGTTGTTTTCATTTATCTTTTGCAGAAAGTGGTTGCCATTGGTTTCGTCCAGAACTATAAATTGTTCAAGCCCACCAAGTTCATGCAGTATTATTTATTTGTTTTTTTATAAAATCAACCCAAGCTTTACACAAGCTTGTTTTTACATTACCAGGAAATATTTTATTGGAATACTTAAGGTTTTAAACAATATTTTATATTTAAAAATATTTAATAAAAAATGATCCATGCCTTTGAAAAATCTTATGCAGTGACGGCCAAATAACGTAATAAAAATAACGTTGGTTTTTTTTTTTTTGATAACATGTTTGAAATAATGTTATAAGTAAAATAAATAAAGCTTCATCTATACCATGTAATGTGTCAATTCAAATATAAAAGAATTAGGTAGCTGTTGAGTTTTGTGCGATACAGATAGAGAGTAAAATATACAAAAGTGTTAATTGTCTAGACAATTATTTAAAATAAGGAGGAATAAAAGAAGACATGATAAAAAAAAAAAAAAAAAAAAAAAAAAAAAAAAAAAAAAAAAAAAAAAAAAAAAAAAAAAA